AAATATCTGCAGCTTTAACTACTTGGAGTAACTTCATTGCAATTGATAGCACTGCTCAGAAGTTTAAAATCCTGTGAGTACTGAGGTCTTTGCTAGAATGGTACTGATTATATAAATGTGACTTCTGGGTAGCTCTTTTTAAAATTAAATTACTGGAATATAATGTTGTTTAGATATTTCTTTTAGACCTTCTTGGAATTATGGTAGATGCTTTAAGGACATTATAATTTACATTTTATAACAAAAGTATAGTGAATTATCTTATCTCATTCCTCTTGGCAACTTAGCAAACTATCATTAACATTTTTCATCAGTATTCTGTTTAGAGTTTTCTAAACTGAATGCTATAGTGGTAACAGCTCATTTTTAGATGCTATTACAGTTCTTTCATATCTTTATAGTACTGTAGTAAAGTCAAATTTACTAGGTACCTTGAAAGCGGGGTAAGGGAGCATTAGAATCTGCATTAAAGTGATTCAGTACTCTTCAGAGAAAAGCCTGCTTAGCTTGAGATCAGATACAGCATGTGTTTTGGGAGCACTTTCATAGGGATTGCTAATCAGCTTGAACACTACTATCCACAGCTGCTTTTTGAAATACTGTTCTGTCCACACTGAAAGTCAGGGGAATTTGCTTTGCTCTGTAAGCACATGGCCAGCATTAGCCGTTGGGGAGCTGCACCTCATGTTATGGTTTGCAGTGCAAACATGGGAGGGATCAACCTGCACGTGCTTGCTTCTCTTTGAGAGTGAGTGCCAATCTCCAATCTACTGGGGAGTATCATGCTCCGATACGTTATTCTGAGTGTTCCGCTCGTGGATGTTCAAACACATTTATCTCTGAGCGTGTAGCCAGGACGCTTTTTCCTAGGTGTTCAGGCATTGGGAAGTGCAAACCCTTCCAGGTCCTAAGTGTTGGGGTCCAATCAGGCTGACTTGCGAGAGCTGCAGTGGCTTTCTGTCCCCAGCTCTGTTGTGATTCCTTAGCGCCTCATTTCATCTTAGTGATGAATTTCTTGATCTTTTATCTGTTTTACCTTTTGAAGCTGTAATTTCATCAAAAAAGGAACATCAAGTATCCAGCCTAGGGACTGGTGGAGGCTTCCAGGTGCAACTGTAATACTGAATACAATAAATACAATGATTATTACAAGTACAGTAGTACAAGTACAGTTAAAAAAAACAATAACATGTGAAGAGTGACTAAATGATGTGATTAATATGTAGTACTCTCCAAGGAAGGCCAAGCTGATGTTATAAAAAAGCATAGTTGTAGACCGTCTTTAACACAGTGAAGTAGTCTAGTTTTCAGTACAAAGCTGTAATCCCTCAACTAAATTAGGCCAGCCTAAAGATTTCTTTGAAAGCGTTGTCTGTTTGTGAAAGTTCTTTCTAAGCCTAATAGAGCATGTAGAAAGAAACCTTGAATACTGCTGTTGTAAAATGTTCTGCTTTTTTTTTTTTTTTCGAAGATGTAGAATTACAAATTTCAGTATTTTTTATGAATGAAATAGGCTAATACCGTGGTATTAGGGAGGACTACCCATTTGAGAGGTTTCTTCTCTCTGTGTCTTTTTAGAAAGCATTTCTCTCACCAGAACCACCTTGTGGAATAGCTTCTTTATGCAGTGTTTGTGATCAATACATGTAAAAGAATAGTTCTAAAAACATGGGAAAATTGCAGAAAGAGGAAAGATCACTGATTGCAGTTATCCATAGGACAGTGTCTCTGTTTTGCTGTCAAGTTGCCGTGAAACAAAGGGTTGACAAACTTTAAAGACTAAAGGTGATCCCAGACACATCCTGTTCCTTGTTAAATGTTTTGCTGTATCACTGCTAGGACAAAAAAGTGAAGTGCCTCTCCACCAGCTGCAGAGAAGGAAGGTGATTTGAATGTTAATGAAGGGTAGAAGTTTCATACTAACAGAAAAAACAGAGGCTCCATAGATAAGAGAATATTTTCCCAGGACGTCTCAGTCTGCAGTTGTTGTAACCAGAGGAAGCAATATTACTAAGGAAGTATTTAAATGTCTTTAACAGATATTAGATGATGAAGTGGAGTAGTCATTATATTCCTATCCAAACTCCAGTGCATGAGAGGTCTATTGAAATACAATCTTTGAGAGTATCCACTTAGTCTTGTTTCTGGACTCCCAGATTAGTTTGGACATCCTGTTAATCGACAGAGCTCCAAATACAGGAGCTTTCTCAGAGAAGTTAACAAAGTTGCTGTTTAATGTGTCAATGAAGATCACAAGGCTCATTGTCTTTGTAAATTTAAATATTCCCTCTCCCCCCAATCCTCCCATCCTTCTAGAAAACACCCCTCATACATTTGAACTTTAGGTTTTTGAGCATCCTTTGGACCTGGCAATGCGTTGTGTGATTCACAGGTCTTCACATGAACATAAGAATTCCTTTTTGCTCCTGTTTACTCTTGTGATCTTTCCTTGCTGCATTTCACGAGGCTTGTGACACAATCCACTCTTTCTAACCATTTGCTCCATTCACAGAGCTAGGAGTCTAACAAACAAACTGGCATTCATGGCCTTCCTTGCCCTTCCTGCCTCTCTCCTACCCCTCTCCTACCCCACTCGCCCAAAGGAAAAAGTCAGAAACATCTGTGTCTTAGAAGAAACTGCTAACCTACTCCTTTAAGGTACTACACTCTAAGGCAGTCAATTATCCAGCTGTTTTTGAAGATACTATCATTTGGTGTCTTCGGGAGTTATTTTCTAGAGCTAAAACTTCGGGTGTTTTAAGTAGATTAACAAAAAAGTTAGCTACGAGTACACAATAGTACCACTGAATTGCTGAAATCTTGGGACCTTCGTACTTGTGTCTAGAGCCTGTAAAGATACAGCATTTGTCACTGTGATGGATGATTTTTCCTGCATATAAAATAAGGGAAGTAATCCATCCTCATTCTGCTTAGCTGTCTCTAAACAGAGACGTATATTTGGTTGCCAAACTCTCCTCTCCATTCTTCAGCTAATCCCAGGGAAAAATGGAAATATGCTGAAAAGCCTGTGATACATAGTTGATGACTAGTTCTTTGCTCCCAGAGCTCTCATCTGGAGTGCCTGACAATGCCATCCTTTTTCTAACTCCTATTTAATATCTTGATGGAGTTGCTGTGGGATCCATTTAGATTAAATTTCTGCCATACATGGGAGATATGCAGCTTACTGGGATGATAAAGCCCGATTCTGGTTCTCTGAATACCTAGCAGAGAGCAGAGCGATGATCAGCTGGCTTAGGCCAAAACTGAGCTTAGGCCAAAACCGAGGAAAGATGTTCCTCCAGATCATCTTCCACTCTTGTTCTCAGCTGAATGTGTTTGGGTTCTCACCTTAACCTTTGCCTGCTAGACTTTGATTAGGTATCAGCTTCCAAGGTGAAAAGGGAGATCTAGGCCTGGGCATTATGTCAAAAATTTGATCTTGGGGAAGAGAATGAAACTCCAGCTTTCCCACTCTAGTGAATTAAAGTAATTCCCTTTTGCCCTTGGAATCTGTTCTTTTTTTCTGGACTTTTAACAGGATGAGTCTGGCTTGGAGTAACTGTATTCAAGGAACAGGGTAAAGTAGCTGCTCTTGTGTTTTCTGTCCCTCTGGTTGCAGTATTATCAGCACAAGTAAATAAGCATTGCTTTAATTCTGTTAATCTTACTTTTAGGATCTCTAACCTATATCAAAATAATTTTGAAGTCTTCCTTTGCATGAATGCATCTCATAAAATTGAAGGTTAAGAAAAAAATGTTAGCTGCATCATGAGACAGAATATGCTCCTGATTTTTCCTATGGTTTTACACTCCTAAGAGGCAGTGCCCAAAGTTGGTCCAAGTTGGAACTAGAAGTTAAGTGGCAAAATCTCCCAAGTGATGGGCCCTGGAAGCTCAGACATGCCATTCTGGTCCTTATCTTTAAATATAATGCAGTCGGGTGTCATGTGCTGGTGATGTCAAATATCATCTGAGCATTCTTGGGCTCTCAGTCCCCACGTGCTGCTGGCACAGGGACATCTTGCTGCCCATTCTTCAGTGGCGCAGCTTGGGCTTGTTCCTGTGATGTTCACATTCCTTCCTTCAGCCCTGAACACGGGCCAGCTCTTCCAGCACGGGAATTTTGTATCTGTTTCATGCGTTAGGATGGCGACTTGAAAGACCGCTCCTTGAATTCCTTCCAGCTAAGGTTTCTTCCTTTATTCTGTGTTACAGTGTGAAGGTTTCTTCTTTTAAGGAAAATCGTTGCAAACCATTTTCCTCTTGGAATTCCTCTGGGAAGCAGGATAGGCTGCACAAAAGCCAAGGAGCCATGGTGTTCTCTGGTAGAGCCTTCAGCAGTGCTTCTGTGCAATTACTGTGCATTGCTAGAAAGCAAGGAAAAGGGCATTAATTTTCAGTGCTTGTTTCCTTACAATAGGAGATGTGTGTGTGTAAATCAGATAGGGACTATAAATCAGAGTTATTTTCATTAATTCTGTAGTTAAGTTTTGGTTCATTATTTACATCTTGGAAAGATCTAATTCTGGAGAACAGCTGAGTAGGAGGATCCTCCTTTGTAGTCAGCTCTGACTGATAGCTTTGGAGCAATCTCCTTTTCTGTCTACAAAAATATATCATTCGATGGTAGATGGGATTTGCTGGACATGCTCTTTTTGAAGAAACTGACAAGTTAGCAATATTTTCCATTGGCAAACCTCCAGAGCAGAGTAGTTGTTATGGTTCTTGCATATCTTTATGCTTCATCTGCATGCTTTAATTTTTCTCTCCTAGTAATATAAGGACTCTAGCCTGCTCACTGTGTAGAAACTGCATAGTTCAGTTTGCCGTTGTTGGCTTCAAAAATGTGTTATTCCAGAACATTGCCGAAGTACCTGAAGACTTAAGAACTGTGCTATCAATTTCAAAATAGCACCATGTACATCCAGGGGATGCCTCAGATATCTGCCTCAAACGGACCTGACAATAGACCCTCCGGGGACTCTACATGACCCCAGGAATTTCTTCCAGAAATCTTATCAGGCTTCTGTCAAAGTTCAACCTTATGTTTGCCAAAAGTTTGAAGGCTAAGTTTTGTCTGCAACAACTTTAATTACAGAATACCGGTTTATGTGAAAATTTCTAATTAATTCAATTTAGAAGTTTAAATCCTAATGAAAGTTTGGAGGATCTCTTCTTATAAGTATCTGAGGTACTTTTTGGAATGAGAATGAGAATTCTCACTGATTGATGCATTTAAAAATTTCTTGATAATCTTTAAAATGTAGTTTAAGAAAATTTCTATTTAAAACAGGACAAACAGAGCTTTGCTAGCTGGCTACTTGTTTAATCAGCTAACTGTATTTTCTGTGTAGTCTTCCTGAAACCTAGCACCTCAGTGAAGGTTAGATCCCTCTTTAAGTCTGTCTGTGCAGTCATTTGACTTCCTTTTCTTTTGACTATTTCTGCTGCAGTGTCCATATAAGCTGACATGTAAGGGTGACAGGGAAAGGGCAGGAGTTAACTTGCCTTGCAATCAGGTACCTGAATACAGGAAATTTTGTTTTTAGTGGTCAACTTGTGGGTTCGGTCCAAACATGTTTTGAAGAAAAGTCAAAGTGGTGAAAGGTACTATATTCTTTCCTTTTTCATGTCATTATTTTCACCGACTTGTTCTTTTGGTCTCTTCTCTGGGTGGCAGATTGCCACTTTTTTGTTCATTTGTTTTATCCCATGGCGTGTGCTTAAAGCCTCAAGGATATGAGCTCCTGATGGTTTTATGTACTTGCCTACACCGATATATTTAAATGTCATTTTTGTAGAATGCATAAATGAGTATGCAGGGAAGCGCAAAGACAATACAGAAACAGGTATGTGAAGGTATACAAATTCTATTATAATAAATGGAATTTGTTTTGTTTAGACTTTTACTTTAGTAAAGCAACACCTCCCCCTAAAACCACTGAAATATTTTCTAATAATGAAACAGATTCATGTTTTCAATCTGCGATCTACTATAAGATATATTGTGAGATTTCTGTTCTGCTAATTATTAAGGATGAAATGTACTGCTTTCATGTGTCTGTGGATTTGCTTTTGGATTTCATTTGTTCACTTAAGGTAGGTGGGCTTACTTAAATCTATTTTTCACATCTTGGAAAAAAAAAAACAGAACAAAACTTTTTATCACAGAGATTTCCAGCATATGATCATGAGAACTGTTGTTTCAGTCCATCCTGTGTCACTTCTGGTTTATTAGGAAAATGTTCAGAGCAATACAATTGTTTGAACAGAAGAGTACAAATGTCTTAGCAGGTTGGAAGATGAATATAGAATGTGTGAATGTATCCATGTTTTCCTCCTTCAGAACTCAATTCCTATATATATTTATATATATAAAAATATATATACACATATACATATTATATACATACATTACGTATATAATATATATACATAATGTTATATATATATGTATTTATTTATTTTATTTTATTTATTTTTAACTGATTCTTTCAAATATACCTTCCAAGCAATTGTACATGGAAAGTTGGTAATCGTATGGAAAACAGAGCAAAAACCCCCTGGTTATTGGGACACAAGACATGCTTGTCACTAAATGACGTAGATATAGTCCCACCTCTGTGAAATCAGATGAAGCTAGTGGTTCTAAAAGAGCCTATGTAAATTTAGGTCGCTACTCTGCATTGTTCTGTGGCAATCTTCATGTGCTAGGCGATAAGGTTACGTGCATCAGGTCTGCTGAAGTTCATGGGCTTTGCGCTGAAGTGCTGTGCTGAATTGGTGAGAAGTCAAAGCATTCAAATCCTCTGCTTCGTTGCAGAATTGTTGGGACTCCCTTGATACATCTTCAGAAAAGACATGAGGGCACTACCCACAATTTGCCACCTATGCCATGGAGCCCTTCTATTTCTTGTCAGTTTTCCTTGATTTTTTTCTGGGTAGGTCTTTGGCATTTTGAGGTTACATTGTACATCGGGAGGATGCAGCTCTGGCAAGGAACTGATCTTTGCCTGACTTCTAAAGATAGAGACTGAGCAGTTTAACAGTACTCAGGCTTCTCAGGTGAGTCTGCAGAAGTCACTTTGTGCATTCACTTTGTGCGGGAGGTCATGGAAGTCATTGTAAGTGACACAAGTGAAGGTCAGTGAAGTAAGTTCAGTGTCAGCCTCCTTGCACTAAGTGTGGTAGGTCTCCGTGAGCGATCTGATTCGTGCCTGCCCTGCAAAGTCATTAAGTTCCACTTGGCTTTCTGGCACTGGCTGAGTTGCATGGATTGGGTATAGTCGGTCTTAAAAGAGAAAGATTGGACACTCGGCCAACCCAGCACATTTTCTGACATGCTCTTAGAGCTGGTAAGAGTCATCATAAATTTAAGCATTACATTGCCTTCCACAGAAACCAGGCTTAATAAATGGCTTTGATTTTTTTATGAATGACTGAGCACCCTGTTTTACTAATAAGACCAAGGTTTTGGGGCAGGGGAATCGGAGAGGAAGGGGAATATGAGGGAAGCTATAAGGCTACTGATGGAGTGTCATATAATTTTACTAGTTGCATAACTGCTTTTAACTGCTAAACTCTCTCTGATTAAAATAACAATCGAGCTTGTAATTTTTCTGAACAGCTGCTGCTACAGGGGGTCATTACCTTGGAGAGCTTTGAAATAATCGTACTCCTAATACATGAGTTATGTAGTCTCATGTTTTACAGCAATGCATGAAGTTTAAAGTCTATAGTAGAATGTTATTTGAAAGCTGTCAAACCATGTTAAAAAAGACTGCATCGTCAAAGGCCCTTGTGGCCAGGATTCAACATGTAGCCTTGTCTTACTCATTATAAAATGCATGTTTATAAAGTTCCACAGAGCATCCAATTCCCAATTCACTTATATCAGCAAGACTTAACTTGCTCATTAATCTAAATTCTTTTGCAACTTTAATCTACATGTTTAATTAATCATAAAATGAGGCGGTAAGTAATTTCAGCAATGTGTGGCTTGTTATCAGATGCATTTAATCACTCTTCTGTGAGCTCATTTGGAAACACCTGAAGATGTCGAGAGCAGTTTGAATAAGCATAAATTATTCTTTGTCAGTGTACTTCACTCAACTAATAAGACATTAATTTAAAAGGCACTGTTCGTCATTTTTAGATCTTCACCAATATTTTTAGCTTAGCAGTATAAATTTAATTGTATATACTGTATGACTCCCGACATAATGCCCAGCACTGAAAAGGCTAAGTTTTATTGAATTCATTTTTCTTATTTACGTGTAATTATATCATGTAATCGTAATTTTAATGAGGACTAACCATAGTTATCAAATCTGTTAACTATTCACATGTTTTTGGAATAAGCTGCTAATTACTTGAAATGCAAGGGGTATTAGAGGATACAAAGATTTATAGATTCTCCTTTTTCTTCACGTATAATAGTTTGTGTTGTCTTTGGAGCTCTTAACACGTAGTATCTTGCTGTGGATATACCTGAGGCTCTTGAGTGCAGGCAGGCTTCGTGTTTGAAAATGGAAGCAAAGCCTGTGATATGACAGGACACTTCTTATGAATAGCTGCTCTTTCGCGTACTTACCCAGGATTATATTGAATGGAAAAGAATATTCCCATTTTTCCTAGTCACAAAACTATTATGTAGTTAGTGATGGCATTCTAAAAAAAAATACATGACCTCAGAGTGTATAATTCAAAGAAGCTGAGTAAGTAATATATCTCTTCATGTCAAGACAATGGGAATAAAAGTCACATTTTATTGAGCGTCATCCCCTGTCTCTGTATGCTATGAGATGGACTGACATTCTATAAGAATAATTATTTCTCTGGAAACAAATGTATTTGCTTGCTATGGAGCATCTCAGTGAACCTTGCTTTGAACAGTGCCTTGTCTTCGGTAGTTGTCTGCTACGTTCCAGTATGGATCGTAACAGGAAAGGGGAGGATATACCATTTTAAGCCGGAGTACAAATCATTTCCCCATATTTTCTTTATTGTACTTAATATTTATGAATGAACTCTTGTTTTCTCTGGTAGGGCCATGCTGTAAGAGGAATAATACTGCCTTAAGTGCCCTGCCTCTCCTACCATGTTCAAGCTGCTGCATCATTTAAACTATAGCAATAAATTGTGGCAGTTGATGCTTTTTCCCTCCATCTGTGCGTTCCTTTCTGCTGCCATTTAGTTTTTATTTTTATTCTGCTCCCTTTTCCAGATGGAAGCAATTGTTTGTTTCGAGAGTGCTAAGAGTTTGAGAATAGTAAACCTTTTGCAGCATCATATAGTACCTATCAGCAGGCTGGACAGTTTAACAGCATTTTATGAAACCACAAGAAACTATGTACCAATTACATTTTGGGTCTGACTAAAACACATACAAACAAGGAAATATGAGCTTCTTCGAGGCCTTCCTCCGTGTAAACGTTTATTCTGACTTATTTACTCTGAGGACAGTAATGAATCCTTCACATGTGTTATGTGGCCTGTTTTTGCCTGTAAAACATCTTTTGAAACATCTGTGGTCAAGTTTCAAGATTTAAAAAAAAAAAAAAAAGAGCTCCAATTCCAGCAAACTAAAAAGTGGCCAGTCTGGTTTTTTTTCTGTAATTGCTTCCAGTTTAGAGTGTGATATCAATGTTCATCAGTAAATGTTTTAGTGTTTGGTGATGGAGGATTTTGAGAAGTCTTTCAGCTTTCCATATCCATAATTTCAAACATTGCTACTTATGTTCAAGTAGCTCTTTTTTTTTGGTGGATGTTGTAAGAGGATACCTGGGTTTTGGTTTTATTTTATTGTTTTTGTTGTTGTTGTTATGTCCAAGAAAATCAGTGGTAAAATACATAGGTGTTGTAAGATTTTCTAGAACAAAAGGCATTGCAATCTTTATTGTTACTGTTTGTAGAAAATTAGCATGCTACTTGTGATAACTCTAAGCAAAAATCCAAGTGCTTCATTAGGCAGTAGGTGAATTTATGGAGTTTTTGTGCTAATCACATT